AACCTTTTAGGTACGGCGCGCTCGTCCGCAACTGGGTACCCCTGGGACGGCGCGCCTGGCCGCGGATGGCACAAAAACCGTTCATGACAATTCTTTTATCTCCGATATTGCCAGGAAATGTGGTTTAGGCGAAACAAATGCGAAATAAAGCAAAAAATGTGTAATACCGTCGAAAATCATGATATCCGCGAAAGTCACTATAGTGTCGTACCGTCCAAATTGGTGCCATCCACGAAAGCCACTACAGTGGCGTTCCGTAAAAATAGAGGGTCTCGGCGGAACGCCACTACGGTGGCGTACCGTTCCAATTGATGTCATCCGCGGAAGCCACTATAGTGGCGTACCGTATCTAAAAGGTTAAAAGATCTTGGACACTTGTCGTAGATCGTTTATATCGCGAAATCACGAGAATTATCCTAATTTTGTCGAACGTGACCGTAGACGCAATCGGAATTGGCAGTTTTGAACAGAAAGATGCAGCAGTGTTTGCAGAATCTGGAGAAATCCGAGGAACGTCGTTTCACCGCTCAAACTAAGCTGACGCAAGCGATGGAAACGGCGGAGGACGCAAAACGGTTTGTTCTGTGTGAAAGAGGGAAGAGAGAAGAAAGACGAGCAATGCTTGAAATTTGACGCATAGTAAATGATTGCTTTTAGTATCTGCAAGGTGTTGGAGAACAGAAGCAAACAGGACGAAGAGAGGATGGATCATCTGATGGCGCAGCTGAAAGAAGCGAGATTGATCGCGGAGGACGCTGACACAAAATCGGACGAGATCTCGAGGAAATTGGCTTTCGTCGAGGACGAATTAGAATTTTTTTTTGCGAGGCGTATGTACGATGAATCGTAATTAAATAACTACAGTTTAGCAAGGGATAAATGAAATTGAGAAGTACGACGATTCGTAGGAAAATTATGGAACGCGAGGACGAGTTGTTCATTGTTGGTAATATATTAAAGTCTCTAGAAGTGTCTGAAGAGAAGGTATTAAAATATTGTTCAACGCTTGCTTTTAAGTATTGTTGATTAATATATTTTTGTATCATTTTCTGGAATTTTCGTAGGCCAATCAGAGGGTGGAGGAATTTAAAACACAGCTGAAAGAGTTGAAGATGAAACTGAAGACTGCTGAAAAGAGGGCTATCATCGCGGAGAAAATGGTGAAAGTGTTCTCGAAAGAGTTGGATGCAAGAGAAGGTATATATTTTTTAATCTTGTTTTTATATTTTTGTGAAGTTAGAAATTTGTCGGTTTAACTTTCAATACGATTTTTAGATTTCCTGTTCAGGGAAAAAGAGAAATACAAGTACATCTGCGACGACATGGATTCCACGTTCGCTGAACTCACCGGATATTAGTCGAACTTTTGTAATATCGAACTCTGCTGTATTCCACATCAGTGTGCACGTATTGTACGTTTTCTATTAAAAACCACATTCGAACTTACCTTGTTCACGTATTTCAGTTGCATTGTAGAATTTTTAACGAGATACGTAGGCGTATATGTACTGCACCGCCGATAGAAAAATTTTCAATTTTCGTTTTATTGCTTGCGTAATGTTTCCAGGGAGTGAATTTTAGCTGACATAATTAAGTAATTTGTCAATTTTTTATTGTTAAATTTTTAAATTTTCCAAACTTTTCATTTAAAAATTTAATTCTCCAAAGTTTTCGTTATTAAATTTCAGAACTTTCCAAACGTTTCGTTTAAAAATTTGTAAATTCTCCAAACTTTTCACTTAAAAATTTGTAAATTCGCCAAACTTTTCATTAAAGAATTTTTAAATATTCCATCGCGAAATTTTTCATTTTTTAATTGTTAAATATTCCAAACTTTTCATTTAAAAATTTAATTCTCCAAAGTTTTCGTTATTAAATTTCAAAACTTTCCAAACGTTTCGTTTAAAAATTTAATTCTCCAAAGTTTTCGTCATTAAATTTCAGAACTTTCCAAACGTTTCGTTTAAAAATTTGTATATTCTCCAAACTTTTCACTTAAAAATTTGTAAATTCGCCAAACTTTTCATTAAAGAATTAAAAGATTTTCCGAAATTTTCTTTTTGCTCTCCTCGAAAATTCCATATTTTTCACTTAGCCCAGTTTTTCTATACGATACGTCTCACGCAATTCGCCTAAAAATCAAACCCAATTTCGTCGTCCTCAAGGGGATGAATAAAGAAGCCAACAAAGGTGATTGTCGTACAGTACTTTACAGGATATCAATTTATTTTTTATCGATTCTACGATCGACACAATGCTTCGAAACGCCTATACCACCGACTCGAATACAATTTCAGCCGCGACGTGCACACACCACGCCGCTTCGTTTTGCTTCGCGATCACTGGAAACACGGTGAGATAATCGCGATTATCTCCGCGTGGTTTCTCGACGTCCCTCAGCACGTGGCCAACGCCACGCAAGAGCGTAGAATCACGATACGCAGGCACACACCCTCTCACATTCGCGCCTCTTCTCTCTCCTCTCTCTCCTTCTTTCCCTTCTCTTTCAGTTCTTTATTATTTATTATTTGTTTTTTTTTTTTTTTTTTACAACGACGCTAATAGTAGTTACAGTAATAATTGTTTCGTTTGATTTGCTCACTCTCCACGCCTTCGTTCTTCGCTCGCAAACGCGGTCGAACCGCGGTGACGTAACTTCAGATACGAAACAAAGGGTACGTTCTGTATGAAAAATCGCACGATAAGGGGAACTGTTCGATGAATTCTTTAGAAACACATATTTTTGTACAAGACGAACGTCGGATCGACCAATCAACGATACAAATTCCACCATTTTCAGACGTTCTAAAAGATGTCTCTCCTCCATTTCTCCACATCTTTTCGCTAAAAACTTTATTTCTCTACGTCGTTTTAGTTTATCTCTTTGAGAATACGGTTACTTACGATATACTTGTAGGACTAGCTTCGATCTTTCGAAAAAGACGTAAAATTTTACGTTTCCTTTTTTTTTTTTTTTCAACGCAGTGAATTCATATCGTTATCCTTTTCTCTCACATCCTTGCATTTCCTTCGACAACGCGCGTACCCAGGTGCAACACGATGCGTTTAGTGTATTTCGAGGTGTTCCAAGTAACGTCACCGCTTTAATTAAGACGTACCGTTTGTGGGGCTCGTTTGTATGGCCTAACGATTAACGCAGAGAAAATGATTGGCAGTAGGGTCGAGTGTGTCCGAGGAATTTCTGGCTGCTTTGATGAAAGCACGAAATAACGATTGAAAGGTGCGCCACGTAAAACAGATAATAGGAAAATGGAAGAGAGGAGCGTGGAACGATTTTCCTTCATGGAAGAAACGGCGAAAAATTTTAGAGTCCAAGGTTACTTTAAGGAGCACGTCGATGTCTGCCGCAACATACGGTAGAAAAAAATATAGACATTCATTAAAGACAGATAACATTGAAAAAAAAAAAAAAGAAATAGAAAAATGGCATTTTTAAATCTTATTTGCCCTTTGAAACCATTTAAATTGCCTATGAAAATTGTCTCGTACAGAGAAGGTAATTAGGTGACCTGTTTCACGTGGCTCACCCTGTATATCAAAATTGCGACTCGCGAAATAAGCGATTGAAATAGTTCAAACTGACGATTAACATCGGTGTAACGTACAAATGCAACGCTTCTTGAAAAGATATACAACGACTGAAAATTTAATTTTCATTAATTAAAATTCATTTAAAAATTCAGCTATACGAACTCTACGTTATTTCTTACTGTAACTATACATTTTTATACCCATGGAAATAGTAGCTATGTCAATTATACCAATGTACCGATAATATATCGAGATAAAAAATATAGTTGGACAACGATTGCAAAATCACTCGTAATCTCTAAAATATCCTGCGGAGAATATTTCAACAGAAGAAACATTTGTTTTATGTATATAACGTTGGAAAAATTTTTCATCGAAAATACCAGAGATTCCCGGAGGTGAAAACAATGGAATATCGAAAGAACCCGGATAAATGTATTACATACGCAGTCCTCGTTGAGCGGACGTCAGTCGGTCGGTGACATAAGAAAAAATGTACAAAAACGTGATATATAATATTATCGTCACGTTAAACGATACCCGCTTCCCGAAGAGGATCTAACAAATTAATCGAACTCTACGAGTTTGATTGACGTGCTTTTTTCTCAAATATATACATTCATGTTTATGTTTTAATCGTATGTAT